TTATTTTTATAATATAAATAAACACTTAAGTGTCATGTAAACGCAATTTGTTATTGCGGTCATATGACTTTACTAGCTTTAATTCACGTTATGGAGGGTGTGCGGATACTTTTGTCCACCCTCTGTATCTTAATCATTTTTTTAGTTTGCTAGCTAAATTATTATGAGATTTTCTTTTGTTAAATTAAATTTTTCTTTGCAAAAAAAAATCAATTTAAAGTGAAAATTTATGTAAAGGATAATTGTTAATCTTAAAAATCAAAAGAATAGGAATTTTGAAAAATTATTGCCAATATAAAAAGAGAATGTATTAAATTTCTAGTATGAGAAATATATATTATTTTTCCTAATAAGTATAAGTTTTTTCTAACCAAAGGATATATTATTTAACAATTGGTTTGATTATCTTTATATAGTATTTCACTAAAAGAAAATTGTATATACGATCATTAATTAATCTATAATAAGTTATATACACATAATTTGCATACTTAAAAAAATTGAACCTTATTTTATTACTATATTTTATTACAAATAGCTTTATGGAAGATTGTTAAATAACCAATCAGGTTCTGACTAAAATTAAGATCTTTTTATTGCATTTGAATTAATTGTTAAACATTCCAAGAATCTGATTCTTCCTATATGATTGATCATAATATCACTTCAAAATTATTTTATTAAATTAACCAAATTTACAGGACTCATTCATCAATTTTGTGTCCTTTTTTTTTTATCAAAGATCTTTGCCAATCTGTTGATCGATTGACTTTCAGTTGAAAAATTCAGGGACAAAGATATTCTGAAATTGCGGAAATTATTAAGTACCTGTCAACCCTGAATTATGATGCTGACGTACTTACGTAATTCTCAATGAATGAAAGAATTCGATTTTTTAGGTTATTATTCGATGTTCATCTTGATTTCATGCACACTAAATCTCTAGTGATGGTGATATAGTGCGCGCATCCATCCAGAATTATGTATTTATTTTTTACTGCAACATTGTTTAATGACTATATTACGTAAAAACGGAGACCCTTTATAACAAAATAGAGAAGTTATAACATTAAGAGATTAGGAAACAATCAATCGAACGGAAGAAACGGACGAATAACCATTTTCATACACGTGACCTCATAATTTGTTACGGTTTAATTTTTAAAGTGCCGTAATGCCAGTCGAGTGAAATTTTATTTGTGGGATGATCATGTGATAATGATAAGATTTTTTTAAGCGGTAGAAATGATTGGCGTTCATAAATTATAAATACAAGTTAAAAACAAAAAAAAAAAAACCAGATCATTGTTTTCATGTCTGATCATTCACCTTTCCAAGGGTCTTACCCTGCAACGAATTACCCTGAACAACAACAACAACAACAACAACCGTTTGCATATCAATATTATCAATTCAATAATGTTTCAAATCAACAATTTAATGGTTCTAATCAGTTCATGAACATACAGCAGACTGAACCATCAGTCGAGAAACTAGAAGAGAAAGCAAGAAAATGGCAACAAATGCAATCAAAGCGGTATGGAGAAAAGAGGAAGTTTGGTTTTATTGAACACGAAAAAGCTGATATGCCACCAGAACATATCAGAAAGATTATTAAAGATCATGGAGACATGTCGAGTAAGAAATATAGACATGATAAACGAATCTATTTAGGTGCCTTAAAATATGTACCACATGCAGTATTAAAGCTGCTAGAAAATATGCCAATGCCATGGGAACAAGTAAGATAATTTGAGCATTTAATCACTATTTTAATTTTAGATTTCTTAATTAATTCTATCCACTTATAGGTTCGTGAAGTACCCGTTTTATATCATATTACTGGAGCAATCACATTCGTTAATGAAATTCCGTGGGTTATTGAACCTGTGTATATAGCACAATGGGGTACTATGTGGATTATGATGCGTCGCGAAAAACGCGATAGACGACATTTTAAACGTATGCGTTTCCCACCATTTGATGACGAAGAGCCTCCATTAGATTATGGTGATAATATTTTAGATGTAGAACCATTGGAAGCAATTCAAATGGAATTAGAAGAGGATGAAGATGCGCCAGTTTATGAGTGGTTATATGATCATAAACCTTTGATGGACACTAAGTTCGTGAATGGGTCAACATATCGGCGGTGGAAATTAAGCTTGCCTAAAATGTCCACTTTATATCGTTTAGCACACCAATTGTTGTCAGACTTGACAGATCAAAATTATTTCTATTTATTTGATTTAAAGTCATTTTTCACTGCTAAAGCATTAAATTTGGCGATTCCTGCTGGACCAAAGTTTGAGCCATTGTATAGAGATATGGATGCGGCTGATGATGATTGGAATGAGTTTAATGATATAAATAAGATTATTATTAGGCAACCCATTCGTACAGAATATAAAATAGCTTTCCCTTTCCTATATAATTCTTTGCCACGTTCCGTCCAAGTATCATGGTATCACGAACCTTCGGTCGTTTATATTCGTGCTGAGGATCCTGATTTACCTGCATTTTATTTTGATCCTATCATAAATCCTATTTCATCGCGCAATGTTGCTGCTGCACAAGACCTTCGAAATTTACATGAAGACGAAATATTTGGTGAAAAAGATATAGATACAGAATTTTCACTTCCAAGCAGAATTGTACCATTTTTAGAAGATCGACCATTATATACAGACACGACAGCTGACGGAATTGCATTATGGTGGGCACCTTATCCTTTTAATAAGCGTAGCGGTCGAATGAGACGAGCTGAAGATATACCTTTAGTAAAGAATTGGTATCTTGAACATTGTCCTCCTGGACAGCCTGTGAAAGTTCGTGTCTCTTATCAAAAGCTCATAAAGTGTTATGTTTTAAATGCTTTGAAACATCGCTCTCCGAAATCCTTGAACAAGAAATACTTGTTCCGTCAACTTAAATCTACAAAATTCTTCCAAACTACTGAACTGGATTGGGTTGAGGCTGGATTACAAGTTTGTCGTCAAGGGTACAATATGCTTAACCTTTTGATCCATCGTAAGAATCTCAATTACTTGCATTTGGATTACAATTTCAACTTAAAACCCGTGAAAACACTTACCACAAAAGAACGTAAAAAGTCTCGATTTGGAAATGCCTTCCATTTATGGTAATTTGGCCTTTTTTTTAATATCTTATATATGATGCATTATGAAGTAGAAATATGCTAATCTAATTTTTATAAAATATTAGTCGAGAAATTTTACGGTTGACCAAGTTGGTCGTTGATTCACACGTACAATATCGCTTGGGTAATGTAGATGCATTCCAGTTAGCTGATGGTTTACAATATATATTTGCACATGTCGGTCAACTCACTGGAATGTACAGATACAAATACCGTTTAATGAGACAAATTAGATTGTGTTTCAGGTAAAGAAAACCGGAAAAAAAATTTTCCCTTAACGTATATTTCGTTTCCGTAATTGATTTTATTTTATTTTTAAATTTTAAATTATCAGCGGGGACACCAAAATTATGATGCCAAACGGAACTTTTAAAGAAGCAAAGGATATAGCTGTTGGAGATCAAGTATTGGGTGATGACGGTGAACCTCGTCGCGTAATTTCACGTACTCAAGGTCATGGCATTATGTATCGCATAAATCTCTCTAAGATAAAAGGTGATGGATTCGTTTGTAACGGACAACATATTCTCGTGCTTAAGTCCAAATTCCATCCTACGATCGAAGTAGACGAAAAAGGACAATCGATTACTGTTGTTTATATGTCATTCGATACATATGACAGAGATCTTAGTTTAAAAATTCCGACTATTTCTTCTAAAAGCTTTTCTTGGAATCTTAACGTTTATGACAGTTATGAAGCAGCGAAGAAAGCGGCTTCTAAACGTTTAGAAGAACTAATTGTGCTTGGTTATAAAGGTCAGCTCTGTTCAGGATTTAATCGATGGACAATACAATTAAGTTATGAATCACCATATACCAAACCTTTGGAATATGATGGACTTAATTTTTACTGGAAACAACCAAAAAATAAAAGAATTTATAAACACGAGGACGCTATAGTTCGAGCAAATAATTTCGTAGAGAAACAAAATGAATTCATTAGGAATTTTGTTTGGGAAGTTTCCGTTGAGAATTACCTACGATTCCATAAGAAATATCCATATGTTGCCGAGTATATTAGAATGTACCGTTGTTCTGTTCTAAAATTCCCCGAATCAAGTATTTTAAATATTAAATCCTTGATTCAAGATTCATTTAAAGAAGCTGGTGTTTACAACAATTACCTTGATGAGGGTGAACTTGCTTGGCTTTTAGGTGCATGGCTCGGCAATGGCGATGCATTAAGACCAATAATTTATCTTCATTCTGAGAATTCTCGTAACGTATTAATTAGATTAAGAGAGATTTCTGAAAAATTACAACTAAACCTTGTAATTGTGGACAAGTCAGATGAATGTTACAAAGGAATTCTTCTTTCCACAACTTCAGAATCAATTATTAAGAAGTCAGTAATTAAATATGATGAGCTTGGATTGCCAATAGTGGATAATGATGAGTTAATTCTTAAATCCGGTCAAAATATATACAATATCTTTATAAATATTCTCAAACGTTTGGGAATATTTGAAAACAATAAAGTATTTGACGATAATTTGATCTGTGGCTTTACAAATCAATCGGAACATTTTCGACTTAATCTTTTGGCGGGACTTATTGATACCACCGGCTACATTAAATATCATAAACAAAATCGTTGTAGTTACGAAGTTTCTCAAGGTCTAAAGTCTCATATGCGTATCGAGCGCCTTGTTCGCCATGTGTCACTTTCTTTAGGGTTAAAGGTATGATATCATTCGTTGTTGTTAGTATAAATTATGATGAAATTAGAACCTTTACAAATGGTTTTTTTTTTCGCTTTTTTCTCTAGGCAACGATTAGCACAGATGTAGAACAACTACATGGTAGTGATAAAAGAAGAATCGCAGAATCGGTTCGAATCATTATTAGTGGATCAAAAATCAATGACATTCCAGTTGTCGTTGATCATAAACGAATACCTGGAGAACAAAGGTTGATGACATATAGTAATTCTAATGGATGCATTAAATTTTCCATCGAGCGCTTAAATGAAGATGATTATTATGGCTTTGGAGTAGATGGAAATAATGAAAGAATATTACTAAATGATTTCTTGGTGTCACATAACTGTAAAGACTTGAAGCACCTTATTTGTAAGTATTCGAAAATCTTTAATTATCTTACTTTAAAAATTATTTCTAATCTTCATATTTTTTTTTTTATCATTAGATTATCGTTTTAATACGGGACCAGTAGGGAAGGGTCCAGGTTGTGGTTTTTGGGCTCCAGGATGGCGTGTTTGGCTATTTTTCATGAGGGGTATTGTTCCTTTATTAGAAAGATGGCTTGGAAATTTATTGGCACGTCATTTTGAAGGTCGTCATTCTAAGGGAATTGCCAAGACTGTAACAAAGCAACGTGTTGAATCTCATTATGACCTTGAACTTCGTGCTGCCGTTATGCATGATATCTTGGATATGATGCCGGAAGGCATCAAAGCTAATAAATCCAAGACTATTTTACAGCATCTTAGTGAGGCTTGGAGATGTTGGAAAGCAAACGTTCCTTGGCATATTATGGGAATGCCTAAACCGATCGAAAATATGATCCTTAGATATGTTAAGAGCAAAGGTATCTACAAAATGTTTGTAATATTTTTGTTTGGTATGACTGTGACTAAATATTATGCATTATAATCCTTTTTAAATTAGCCGACTGGTGGACTAGTGTTGCGCATTATAATCGTGAAAGAATTCGAAGAGGTGCAACCGTTGACAAAACGGTAAATATCTTTCATAATTACTGACATAAAGTTTATTATTGATATATTTAAACTTTATTTAATCCTTATTATAGGTATGCAAAAAAAATCTTGGACGTTTGACGCGTTTGTGGTTGAAAGCCGAACAAGAACGTCAACATAATTATCTCAAAGATGGTCCTTATATTACTGCCGAAGAAGCCGTTGCGATTTACACGTCCACTGTCCATTGGTTAGAAAGTCGTAAATTTTCACCCATTCCTTTCCCACCACTTTCATATAAACATGACACCAAATTATTAATTTTGGCGCTCGAAAGATTGAAAGAGGCTTATAGTGTAAAAGGAAGACTTAATCAAAGTCAACGCGAAGAATTGGGCTTAATCGAACAAGGTAAATTGTTCATAATAATGATAGAGAAATATTTCTAAATTATAATGCTAATTTGACTTTTCTTTATAGCTTATGACAATCCACACGAAGCACTTAGTCGAATTAAACGTTTATTGTTGACCCAGCGGGCATTTAAAGAAGTCGGAATCGAATTTATGGATCTTTATAGCCACTTGATTCCAGTATTTGACGTTGAACCTCTTGAAAAGATTACTGATGCGTATCTTGATCAATATCTTTGGTACGAGGGAACAAAGAGAAATTTATTTCCTGCATGGATTAAACCTTCTGACACTGAACCACCACCATTGCTTGTTTATAAGTAAGTTATTTATAATATATTTTTCTTGTATTTTTTGATTTTAAAATCCTTTATCACAAAAATTAATTTATTGTAATTCCTTTAGATTCTGTCAAGGAATTAACAATTTGACAGATGTATGGGATACATCTGAAGGACAAATTAATGTCATGTTGGAAACTCAATTTAGTAAAGTCTATGAAAAGATAGATTTGACTTTATTAAACAGATTATTAAGATTAATCCTGGATCACAATCTCGCCGATTACATGACAGCGAAGAATAACGTAGTTCTAAACTACAAAGACATGAATCATGTTAATGCATACGGCTTAATTCGTGGTTTGCAATTCGCAAGTTTCATATTCCAATATTATGGCCTCATTCTTGACTTGTTAGTTCTTGGATTACAACGAGCATCTGAAATGGCAGGGCCAGCCTCGATGCCTAATGACTTTCTTCAATTCCGTGATGTTGTAACCGAAACTAGACATCCGATAAGATTGTACTGTCGTTATATCGATAAAGTTCATATATTTTTCCGATTTAATGCTGAAGAAGCTAGAGACCTTATTCAACGTTATTTAACAGAACATCCTGATCCAAATTCGGAAAATATAGTTGGGTATAATAATAAGAAATGTTGGCCACGAGATTGTAGGATGAGACTTTTCAAGAGTGATGTTAATGCTGGAAGAGCAGTATTTTGGGATATTAAGAATAGATTACCTCGTTCATTAACCACAATCGAATGGGAGGACACTTTTTGTAGTGTTTATTCGAAGGATAATCCAAACGTTTTGTTTTCAATGTGTGGTTTTGAAGTAAGAATACTTCCAAAGATTCGAAATCTTAACGAAGAATTTACACTTAAGGATGGTGTTTGGAATTTGATTAACGAACAAACAAAAGAAAGAACTGCACAAGCTTTCCTTCGCGTTGATGAAGAATCAATGCAAAAGTTTCATAATCGTGTCCGACAAATTTTAATGGCTAGCGGCAGTACCACATTCAGTAAAATCAGTAACAAGTGGAACACCTGCTTAATTGGTTTGATGTCTTACTATAGAGAAGCAGTTGTACATACTCGTGAACTGTTGGATATTATTGTGAAAGCGGAAAATAAGATTCAAACCAGAATTAAGATAGGTCTTAACAGTAAAATGCCTAGTCGTTTCCCTGTGCACGTATTTTATTGTCCCAAAGAATTGGTAATTATAATTTCTATCTTTTTTTTTGACATATAATTTCATCATTTATTAATTACTTTCGTATTTTACTTTTAGGGTGGCCTTGGTATGTTGTCGATGGGTCATGTGGTACGTATCATTTCTTATTGCCTTCGTATTTGCAATTCAAAATTTTATGTTCACGTTATAATTGTATTTTAGCTTATTCCTCAATCTGATTTACGCTGGAGTAAACAAACAGAAACGCAGATTACACACTTTCGCGCCGGGATGTCACATGTAGGAAGCATTTCATTTTCTCCTTACTGTCTATTTTTTTAAAAAGCAAATTTTAATGTTCTATAACATGTTTTTTATATTTTATAAACAGGAGGAAGATCAATTGATTCCTAATTTATTCCGATATCTTCAACCATGGGAGTCCGAATTCATTGATTCTCAACGTGTATGGGCGGAATATGTACTCAAGCGTCAAGAAGCTAATGCTCAAAATAGACGATTAACACTTGAAGATCTTGAAGATTCTTGGGATAGAGGGTTACCTAGAATTAATACTTTGTTCTCAAAAGATCGACATACTCTTGCTTACGATAAAGGATGGCGGGTCAGAAATGATTTTAAACAATATCAAGTACTAAAGAATAATCCATTCCATTGGACCAGTTCGCGTCATGACGGAAAGCTTTGGTCTCTCAACAATTATCGAACTGATGTCATTCAAGCACTTGGAGGTGTTGAAGGCATTCTAGAGCACACTCTTTTCAAAGGAACTTATTTTACCACATGGGAAGGCAAGTTATATTTTATATCATTAATTTAGAGTAGGTTATTTTTTCTAGCTTATTAACGTTTTATTTTAAATTTTTAGGTCTCTTCTGGGAGAAAGGTAAACAAAGTTGCATTAAAAATACTATTATTTTCGGACTTTTTCCATTTTCTCACGTGACATTATTACCTTGATAGCATCCGGATTTGAGGAATCTATGAAATATAAGAAATTAACAAATGCTCAAAGATCCGGTCTTAATCAAATTCCGAACAGAAGGTTTACCTTGTGGTGGTCTCCAACTATTAATCGTGCCAATGTCTATGTTGGTTTCCAAGTACAACTTGATCTCACTGGTATCTTTATGCATGGAAAAATTCCCACATTGAAAATTTCACTAATTCAAATATTCCGGTATATTCTTTTTTATGATGTTTTTCATATAATAATTCATTTACTAATTGGTTTAAAAATTAATTTAAAATAGGGCTCATTTATGGCAAAAAGTTAGTGTTAAAAGCTAGTAATTTTTATTTTATTTTATTTTCTAAATATGTTTGAACTAACGTTTATTTTCGTTTAATATTAGATACACGAATCGATAGTAATGGGTAAATAATCTTGCATAGTTTGAATTACTGTTTTGAATCTTTATTCAAGAATTGATACTAATGTACTTTTTCTTGATTTTTTTTTTTTTTTTTTTTTTGTACATTCTAATATCAATAGATCTTTGTCAAGTTCGTATTTTAAAATTTTTATACTTGCATCTATTTTTACATTTATTAAATTTATTATTTTTATAATAATTTTACTATAGGTATTCGATTCGGAGCTTGAAAGTTTACAGATCGAAACAGTTCAAAAGGAGAGTATTCATCCGAGAAAATCATACAAGATGAATTCCTCGTGTGCAGACATATTACTTTTCGCTGCATACAAGTGGAATGTATCCAAACCATCATTATTGAATGATAATAAAGACACCATGGACGGTACTACAACTTCGCGTTGGTTTGTCGATGTACAACTTAGATTTGGTGATTTTGATTCTCATGACGTTAAGTATTGTTCTCTATGCAGACAAAGTCTAACTTGTTTAAGCTTGTTAAAAAAACTAAATATCTAAATCTTATTTCATTTCAATAGATTGAAAGATATACCAGAGCAAAATTCTTAGATTATTCTACAGATAATATGAGTATATATCCATCGCCATTTGGCATTATGATTGGTATAGATCTCGCGTATAATTTACATAGTGCGTATGGTCATTGGATTCCTGGAATGAAACCATTAATACAATCAGCAATGGCTAAGATTATGAAGGCAAATCCTGCGTTATACGTCTTGCGTGAACGTATCCGTAAAGGTTTACAATTATATTCCTCGGAGCCAACTGAACCTTACTTATCATCACAAAATTATTCTGAATTGTTTAGCAATCAGATTATTTGGTTCGTTGATGACACCAATGTATATCGTGTAACCATTCACAAGACATTTGAAGGCAATTTGACCACGAAACCAATAAACGGAGCTATTTTCATTTTTAATCCAAGAACTGGACAATTGTTCTTGAAGATTATTCACACTTCGGTTTGGGCGGGTCAGAAACGTTTGGGTCAATTGGCCAAGTGGAAAACTGCAGAAGAAGTAGCTGCTTTAATTAGGTCATTGCCAATTGAAGAACAGCCTAAACAAATTATTGTTACACGAAAGGGCATGTTGGATCCTCTTGAAGTACACTTACTTGATTTCCCCAATATTGTTATCAAAGGAAGTGAGTTACAACTTCCATTCCAGGCTTGTCTTAAATTAGAAAAGTTTGGTGATTTGATTCTCAAGGCTACTGAGCCTCAAATGGTAAGTAGTCATGTATTATGTATCATACCCGTTCCTATCACTTTAATTGTATATTAACTTCGTAATTATTATTATAGACTCTGTTTAATTTGTTCGACGATTGGCTTAAAACGATTTCTTCGTACACTGCATTCTCGCGTCTTATTCTTATTTTACGTGCTTTACATGTGAATACGGATAAAACAAAGATGATTTTACGTCCCGATAAAAATACCATTACTGAACCTCATCATATTTGGCCAACGTTGTCTGATGAAGAATGGATTAAAGTTGAAGTTGCTTTGAAAGATTTGATTTTGGCAGATTATGGAAAAAAGAATAATGTAAATGTAGCATCTCTTACACAATCGGAAATTCGTGATATTATCCTTGGTATGGAAATTTCCGCACCATCTTTGCAACGGCAACAAATTGCAGAGATTGAAAAACAAACCAAGGAACAGTCTCAACTTACGGCCGTCACTACAAAAACGCAAAATGTACACGGTGATGAGATGATTGTCACAACAACTAGTAATTATGAGACACAAACATTTTCTTCAAAGACGGAATGGCGAGTTCGCGCCATATCTTCAACAAATTTACACCTTCGTACCAATCATATTTACGTCAACGCGGAGGATATTAAGGATACCGGATATACTTATGTTTTACCAAAGAACGTATTGAAACGATTCATTCAAGTTGCCGACCTCCGAACCCAAATTGCTGCATTTCTTTATGGGGTATCGCCTCGTGATAATGCTCAAGTTAAAGAAATTAAGAGTTTGGTTATAATTCCACAATATGGTACGCATCAATCAGTAAATTTACCATATGCGTTACCGGATCACGAATATCTCAAAGATCTTGAACCTCTTGGTCTTATTGTGACTCAACCATTTGAGACTGCACAATTGTCTCCGACAATTCTATCGCTTCATGCAAGAATTGTAGCAGACAATAGGAATTGGGATGCAGACAAAACAATTTCGATGACGGTCTCATTCACACCTGGATCTTGCTCGTTGACGGCATATAAATTGACACCTGCTGGTTTCGAATGGGCTCGTAATAATAAGGACACGTCTGTTAATCCACCAGGTATTATCTTTTCTTAAATTTATAATTCGTCGCCTTTATCTTAATTAATACTAATGTAATTCAAATTCCATAGGTTATCTTCCAACATTTGCTGAAAAAGTACAAATGTTGTTATCTGATCGATTCATGGGATTCTTTATGGTTCCGGAAAATGATATTTGGAATTATTCATTTATGGGACCTAGTCACAGCGCATCTATGAAATATACCCTCAAGTTAGATGTACCGAAAGAATTTTATCACGAATTACACAGGTAACGGTCATTTTTACATATTGTTTCTTTACTATTTATATGATTTCATTATTTAACATATTTTTAATTATATTATTCAGGCCGCAACATTTTCTTAACTTTAGTTCAATGGAGGAAGATGTCGAAGCTGATCGAGAAGACGCATTTTCTTAGATTATAATGTATCAATCAATAATATAACATTTGTATTTTTATTTGATTTTTAAAATGAAGTAAAAGAAGTTATTATACTGGGCAATATATTATTAATAACTACATAATTTCATCGTTTTAAAGAAAATGCCAAAGTCACAATCGCGATGATTATTATATATATCTATATTTGTTACTATTATATCAAAAGAATTTATGGCATTAAAACTCTAACATCAATTATTTATATAACCAATTTAATAAATTCTCAAAATTTTTGTTATACATCTAAAAAAAAAAAAGGAATAAAAAAAACTTTGTTAGTTTATAAAGTCCAGAACTGTGCTGCAAACGATCTTGTAGATCATTTATATCCGCAATTGATTTGTAAGCGGTCGCTAAATCTTTGACGTTCCACTGTAATTCATCAATAATCATCCAGATAATAACCGATACAGACATTTTGTTAGACATCAAAACGAATGGAATTTAGGAAATCACATACTATTGCAGTGCGTGCGATATATTTTAATTAGGATGAGATCATCCTTATAATGATAACATTAATATTAAAATAATTAATAGTATTTTTTATTATTATTATTATTTATTATATTTTACATTTTTAGCTCTACATTCGTTTTTAAAATTATATAAATAATAATGCCATATTTTTTTTTTTTTTTTTATTATTATAGATAAAGTTCTGATAAATTTGCAAATTCTCTCGCCTTTCTCCTCCCTACTTCAGACATTCGTTCACCAGATATTAAACAACTATGTAAAGTTGCTTTTTTTGCAACTCTCATTTCTTTAACGTAATCAATTACAGTTCCAACATGATCATCTGTTATATGAGAAGAATGTAAATCCAATCGTTTTATTGAACTACATTCTTTTAATAACATTTTAAAATATTCGGGAGAGATAATCCATTGTCCTCTCAAATTTAATGACGATAAAGTACTTGGCCACGATTGATTCGTTTTTGTGAGGAAAGGTTCAATATTTAAATCTCCATAGCAAATTAAGGTTAGATTTTCCAAACTTTCATTAATTTGTAAGAATTCCAGGAATTCATCAATATCACCTTCACCCATTTGCACTTTTAAATCTTTAATATTTCTACATAATCTAAGAGATTTTACTAATTTATGAGAAGATATGGTACAATTTCCCGTCCTTGGTAAAATGATTTGTTCTAAATTATCATGACAATTATTAACTAAAGCGGCTACGTCATCGGGACATACCCAATATCGAGGAGATTCTATACAATTATTATAAAATCCGAGATATTTTAAATTTGAAAATTTCGCATTAATGAAGGTATTCATTTTATCACCAATATATATACAATGAATGAATTGTAAATATTTTAAATTTTCAAAAGCTGTCAAAGCTTTCATTGTATTACAATGATGAAAATTACAATATTCGAATTGAATCATCGTTAAGGATTTTGCTTGAGATTGAAGCGCGCAAAGTGTGTCCGATAATACGATTTGATATTTCGTTTGATAATCCCAAGTATATTTAAATGATTTTAATTTTTTTTGAGCTCTTATTAAGACCCCTAAGGCTTTCACTTCCATATCGTGATCAACCCCTCCAACTTCTAAAGTTTCAATAAATTCTGATACTTGAGAAATCGCTCTAAAAATCTCACTCTTATTATTGTGTTTACTAACGCATTGAAAACTTTTTAAGCGAGAAAAACAATTAACCGATCCAGTTAAAAGTGGTAATAAGGGCATGGCTGTCTCATAAGGTATATCCGATAATGAAAGTAATTCAAAAGTTGAACATTGGTTCATAAATAATTTAAATAATTGTTCCGTGATTAAAATTTTTAAAAAGGTGGTTTGTTGTTCATCTGCAAGATTTCCAATGACATTAGAAAACCAATCAGAAATCCCATTATAAATATCCGAAAATTTCAATTCTCTCAAGAATGATGGATAATCAAATATTGGTGAATGGATGTCTTCTATTATGCTAGTTGGTAAGATGACCCCATTATTACAGAGGTATTGTTTGGATTTTTTATTAAGGCATTTTAGGTAAACTTGTATTATTTTCGTCGACTCAATCGATAAGCTATTTGAAAGTTTGAAGGGACTTTTCCATAAAATGGGGACCGCGATTTTACACCAACTTCTATTGACCAAGAGACATGAATAAATTGACTCTTTCGTTTCAAGGTATTCAAAAATTTCTCGTAAACATTCTGGTGGTAAATTTGTTATTGTGGTTCTATTGAAAAAAAAGTATCGTTCGAAAACGACCGATGGTATCGGTGGTGATTGTGATGGTTTTAAACAAGTAAGAGCTGATCCCATAATTTTTTTTTATTTTTTTTATTTTAATTAAATTTTTTTTTTTTTAGGAAAAGAAGGGAATGGAAAAAATGGTAAGGAAAGAAAATTTTTTTTTGGGAAACGTCTTTCATCCCATTTTCATCAAAAATTATGCGGTGATTATCCAATTATTTGTTGTAATCATTCATTAATTTATTTTTGGTTTTCCGTCAGTTTCCATCTTAACCAACCAATCAAATTTCCACAAGAAAAAAATAAAAATGAGAAAACTTTTTTAAATAATAAAACCCGCGTTTTCAATTGTTTTATTTATTTATTATTTTTATTCTTTATTTAAATATTTTTTTTTTTTTTTTTTTAAAAAAAAACTATTTTTTATTTAAAAATAAAATAAAATAAAATGCCCGTTGCTCACTCGGAGTCCACAAAGCCGCAACGGGAACTTAATGAACCTATTAAACAAGAGAAGGAAATTGATCATACACAAACCGAAGGGCAAAATACAATAACACCAACGGTTCCACTTTTTACTTTATGGGATTACCTCAAAGATGAATTAACGACCTCCGACGTTGATACCTTACAAGAACTTAAAAGGGAAAGGGTCACCAATTTTCTTGGTATTCCGTGGTCGATTGAAAAACTCATGATTTTTGGATTTTTCATTTGTTTTGATTCTTTTTTATACACCATTACTATCCTTCCATTACGTGTAATATTCGCTTTTTATTCATTGATCATGAACATTATATCATTTTTTAATAATGACAGACATCATGAACGAAAGCACTATGAAATATTAAATTTATCACAAAAGTGTGATTTACTCAAAGGTCTACTCATAATTTTAGTTTGTTTAGCACTTCAAAATGTGGAAGCATCACAAATATATCATATAATCCGTGGACAATCCGCTATTAAATTATATGTTATCTTTAACGTCCTTGAAATTTTAGATCGACTTTGTTGTTCTTTTGGTGGGGACATCCTTGATTCCTTGTTTTCAAGATCAACACTTGGGAATAGAAAAGAGGATTCAAAGATTCATCCAAATTGGAGACCAGTTAATTTTTTCATTTTGGCATTAATTTATATCCTTATCCATTCGATAATCTTGTTTTATCAAGCCATTACCCTTAACGTGGCGATCAATTCTTATTCAAATGCTTTATTGACTTTATTATTATCAAATCAATTCATTGAAATTAAAGGTTCGGTGTTTAAAAGATTTGAAAAGGAAAATTTATTTCAATTAAGTTGTGCTGATATAGTTGAACGATTTCAATTGGTCATATTTTTATCAGTTATCACCGCTCGAAACTTGATTGAATTATCAGGTTCCCCACCTTCACCATTTTCCATTTTACCCACATCATTCATTCCTTTATTCCCAGCAATGACAACTGTTGAGACTTTAATGACTCCAGTATTATTCGTGTTAATGTCTGAATTGTTGGTTGATTGGTTAAAACATGCATTTATAACAAAGTTTAATCATATTCGAACAAGTGTCTATGATCGATACATTGATATGTTATCAAGGGATCTCATAATTGGAAATCCAACGAGATATCCAAATCATAATAATCATGTTAAATCACAAAAGTTCGTAGATCAATCACCGATAGTCTCTCGTCGGATTGGATTCGCCGCTTTACCTTTGACTTGTTTTACGATAAGTGTAACTTTACAAACCGTTACAATGATTTACGATTGGGTACATGAATTGGAAGGTAATTCAAACAATATGCCAATTGCTAATGTGGCTACACAACCTCCTATCGTATGGATATTATGTGGAACTTTATTTTACGTTATGTTGATATTATTAAAATTATTTGTCGGAATAAATCTTCTTGGATTTGCTCATAGAAGATATGCTAGTATGGAAATGCGTGAAGCTGAAGAGAGCGCGCAAGCTAAAAAACTCGAAGATCATGTTGTAGCGGAAAAGGAAGAAAAAGATGCTAAAAGTCGAATTCTTAATAATTCAAATGACAATATAAAAAAACCTGAGGTAACGTTAGATAATATTGATCGATATACGTTATTTAAAAGTCGTATTCCTTGAAATTTTTTTTTGTTGGTTGATGATAAATGAGAATGAAAAACAAATGGCAAAGAAATTGTGAATTCTAGATATTTTCTTGAAATACTTTTTTTTGTAAAAACATAAATTGCATAATTAGTTGAATTTTTTGTAGTTATAATAATTTTTTGTTTCCTTTTACCAAGATCACAAATAATAATATCGCAAGCACTTTTAATATTTAATAATAATAATCAAGCATCTAAATTTAAGCTTAATAGAACTTGTTCAATTTTTTCCAAGACTAAATTATATTCAGCTTCCCAATCAGTTATTTCTTCACCGTCATATTCCCGTACTTTACCACTCCTTTGATCAATTTCATCCTCAAGCACACTATATTTTTTAGATAACCAATATCTTAAATCATCGATGAAAGGAATCGTATCAGTCTCTTGTCTTTTTTTAATAGAATGAGCGGATTCACAAATTAAATCTAGAAATCTTTGATCTTCTAAAACTTCATAAAGATGATCGGCAAACCAATGACAACACCATTGTTCTAATCTACCAATATTTAAATCGATAGCCGTACGCATAAGTACGTAAATATCTTCAAGTGGTTCGGATAGATTTGTTAATACGATAGACGCGATTGATTTGAGTTTATCCAGTAAGTACATATCAGCCTTTATTAATACTTCACATGCCATTGATTCCGGTATATCACATTTGTCTGTATATATGAATTCAAGAATTAAAGCAAATACTTTGGAAGAACATTCTGAAATTCTAGGTGTTCGCAATAATTTTTCAGAAAAAGGTCCATTAAACATGGCTTTAAAGTACTCGCAACGTTCAGTGAGGAAAACCTTGTGACAATTAAAGAATTCATCTTCCACTCTAATACAAATATCATGTTGAGATTCTGCGAATTTCGGTTCTGTATCGTTATGTCCGATTCTATTTTCAATAATTTCTGAGCCATCCACCTTCATATTATTGTTATAATCTTGTTCAGTGTAAAATTGTTTGCCTACAAGTAGAACATTCTTAAAAAATTTAACAAAGTCGTTTTGAAGTTTCTTAAATTCTATCTTATCCTGATCCTGATTAATTCTTTTCATTTTATTCGTATATCGTTCAGATAAATTATCTAGCCAGACATATTTACACAGTTGTATCATGTTATCCATTAAGGAATTTGGGATCGATGCAATTTCTCCGGTATAAAGATATCTCAACATTGCACGAAAACATGTTGCATGAATTTGTATCTCTTGAATTTCAATCACTTTAGATGTACGCCAAATCGTCTGAAATTTGCTTGCAAAGAATGTTGATCGAGCGTTTAGTATACATCTATGAGCTGAAATTTCTAAAGTTTCCAAAGTATTATAACGTTTTGACCGGTCGTATGGGGCATTTAATTTAAAAATAACATCACTAAAGGTGTCAAGAGGACGTTCTAATATGTAGGAAAAGAAATTGCGATAGGGCTGATATTTGTCATCTGCTTTAGTGTATTTATAACTTGACAAAAGTCCCCGTATTTTCATTGTCAATGCTCCATAATAACAGCTAAAAAAAAAAATAAGTGTCAGCAAATCGGGATCATGAAAAATCAAATCTATACTTAACATTGTATATTTTACCGTTGTCCTTCAAAGGTATCCTTTCTACATTGAGCTCCATTCTCAAGTAAGAACTTTACAACTAAAAATTTCAAAATAATGTCAATTCAATTCACAAAACAAAAAAAAAAAATTCATTAAAAATTATGACTTGCCTCCGTAATGTCCACTTTTTTATATTTTTTTTTTTAAAAAATGAAATGAGAACTTTTTGGTTTTTAAGATATTAACTATCTAAATTATAAATATGCTTACCATAAACATGCAAGATATAAAGGGGAACATTGCCATTTATCGGTTTGATTAATTGGTGCTCCAAAATTTCGAACCAAGCTAACACAATTCAAAAGTAAGTGGTTAATTCAAAAGGTACAGCAATAACCTCGAATGAGGAATCAAAAAAATGCTAACCTTTCAACTAGCTCTAAATCACCATTACGACAAGCATTAAGTAAATCTTGAAAAATTTTATCTTCGTCTGCTAATTTCATTATATCAATTTCTAATGTCGATTATAAAATTAAAAAAAAAATAATAGACGCGGTTTAACAAAAATTCTGTGATATGTAACACCGATTTTTTCGATGCAATAATATATGTTGGTACACTATAAGTTAAATTAAAATAAGTATAATAGATTTTTTAAATACCTACCATAAAGGTCTTTTTTTTGTATTATAGATTCTAATATCAAGAAAATTTCGCTGAAAAATTCTTCAACAATGATGAAACTTTTATTTAAACCAAGAAATGTAATCCTTTCTATCAAATAATTTGATAAGAAAAAAAAGTAAAGAACTTTGCCAGCCAAATGAAAGAATTTACGGAATCCAACATTTTGCTCTCTCCTAATATTGAATATAAATACTGAAAGATTTGACACCCAAGTTACAAAATGCCTTTAGAAATATGAGTCATTATGCTATTAAATTGAGTTTTCTCTAATTAGTATCGATTTTTGCAACGGATTTTTTATATTCTCATTTTAATTAATGACTGAATAAAATTATAAAATCGATTCTCTTTCTAAGCGGGTATTTTCTCATTATAGATGTTCTGATGTACAGTATTTCATAATTGGGATTGTACATATTCGCAACTGCTATGTATATTATTTATTTATTAATAATTCGTGTAATACACCTTTCGAAGTGAAACTTTTATTATTCCCAGATCTCATGTTATATTGTTCAGTTTCATTTTAATTTTTATTATATTTAATTTATATATATATATATCATAAATACATTCAGTTTAATATCTAATATCGTAAAAGATTTTTGGTCTACTTATAAATTACGCGTTACAATTTACATTTGAATCAGCCTTCACATTTCTCAAATTCAACCCAAATCATC